AAATACCAAGTATATGACTTCCCATGCCCTAGTCTCTTGTGTGCCAACCCACAAACGTTTTGGTTCAACATTGAACCAAATCAAAACAAGCTGAACCACAACATTTGTGGGTTAGCATGGAAAATCATAGACTTGGTGTTAGAGATAAAAACCAGATAGACGCGGTGGCGATGGGAACTAGTGGGTTGACAGTAGGTCTGTTCTTACCATAAACGTGGTCCATGTAGAAAATGCGTGACCACGAGACTTACTCAATCACACAGATGGGGTAGCAGTAGTCGAGTGAAATATGTGACTCAGGTAGAGAGTAGACGGATTCTACGAGGCAAGAGGGAGACTTTGTTAGGACCAAGGGAAGGACTACGTAACAATATGACAAACTCTGGTCAACATTCCCAGCACACGGGTGAAGGGGGTGATAACGACAGTGTGGAGTGTGAAGGGTTTGCATGAATGCCGCCCGAAGGAGCCCACCACACTACATTAAAAATAAGCACGGTAAAAAGTGTGACAGGTAAGGCATGATAGGAGGATATAGGAAATGTGAATGGGCAAGGGCAGACGGGGAGGTACCATAACTGTTTAGCACACATTTGGTCAAAGGATGGGTTTCACTTGTCTCTTTTAACGAATTGTAATTTGGTGCTACAAATGGCAGTGAGTATTACTCACTGACGATGCCGGCGAAACGTCTGGGAATGTATCACGTCCACGGTCCTACTCTGGAAATGATGATGCTTACAAAGGTGCGTTCCTCTAAGTCTTCCTACCAAAATGGCCATGTTGCGAAAACAAGGTCAAACAACCTCTAAGTTAAAGTAATCAGAATCGTGAGTCTTACTCATATTACCACGACATGACTCTCCATTTTGAAGTAAAAGTTTGTTGGAGGCGATTCGTGAGATGGTCTCATCGGTTTAGTATATTTTTGCTTTATTTCGTAACGTATGGATTCTTGTTCTGATAATGTCTATCACGACGATGCAGGCGAAAGTTTAGCACAGGCTCATCGAGGTCGCAAGATGGAGTAGCCAAGGACTTCTTCGCACAATCTAACAATCAGACAATTTCATGAATTCTTTTCAACCAATTTTTCTTCAAAATGGGAAATCGTGTCACATTACATCACTAAGGCAGTCTTCGAAACCCAGATGTCCTTCATTACGTATATTATTGTAGGAAAATTCAACTTGATTTATTACAGCATATGACTTTCCGAGGTATGAAAGTTTATTATTTTTAAATCTTTGCTTAATTTCGAATTTTATATACAAGACTAATTTTGATAAAAATCTTAGCATGCGTCAATTGGAGAGGTCTCGGACCCGCCTGACCAAATGGAAAATAGATCACTTCGGTATATGCAAAGTAGAGGTATTTGTAAACTTGACCAAACTCAGCGGAATGTACCAGTAAATGGTTTGGGGCCGGCCTCTAAATTGGTGTTAGAACGTCGACCCTGTGCATCAGCGCCAGAGTTATCACACGTCTGGGCATTGTGTGTTCGCCAACAGTCACATTATCCTCCCACCCACACATACAAATGCACTGGCAGCGACAAGTACACGACGAGGCTTGAGCAAGCCAATGAACAGCTGGTTTCACACAGCCTCCCCTTCACAATTAGGAACATGGATTGTGATTGAGGGGCCGACTGGGCGAAATGAGCATCGCGTTGGCCCAAATGACGACCGCCCACCCTGTACATCCTCACAAGTACTACATGCACAGGTTGACATTGTCTCGTCGAGCCCGACCGGAAAAAGGCGTTCTATGAGCATGTAGGCCGGCCGACAGGTTTGTGGTACCGACCGTCACCATCAGGTGACATTGCAAGGCTGGGGCCTGTCTGGCCTAGAAACGTCTGTCGTTTATAGGTTGGGTATCATTACAAACGGTTTGTCAGCTCGTCCTCGTAATCCGTTTTCGCCATCTCAACACACCCTGGGCCCGGATGTGTAGGCCCTTTTCATTTTATCGTCTCGGCTTCTGTTGTGCCTTTTTGTGTGACAGTTTGGTTTGCGTGCATTTATGCGGTGGTGACACATTTGACTTGTACCGTCACGCCCACCCGCCTTACCTCCGTATCCTCCGGCCGCTCTGTTCCCGACCCAACCTGTCCCAGGGCATATCGAGACCCCAAGCTGGGGGCAGGGGGATCATGACGGTGCGGCTAATGGCTCAGATTGCGGCTGTCTGACGAGTGGGCGGTCCGGTGGTACACGATGCAGCCGGCCATGAAGATATCGCCTGTTGCAGGTCTCCTCCCAACCAGCCCTGCTTGCGACCTGATGCTCCTGATCGACCGGGCAGACAGTGCAGTCCTATGTAGGTGTGTGTGTGTGTGTGTGTGTGTGACAGAGAGGGAGAGAGAGAGAACACTTGGTGGGCAGAATGCAATACTGCAGGTGTGACCTTCAACCTCTGGTGGGCGTCAAAGTACCACAGGCACGCAAGAGTGTTCGCGTGACGGCATGTCTTAGTGCCTTTAGTCTGGTGGTAAATAGTTCCGACATCAAACAGGAGCAACTACGTCTCGACGCCTGGATTGAGCTCGTGATGGTACCTATTTGTGCCATCATTTGGGCTTACGGGTGTTGAGTGTGTTGCCGGGGTCTTGGTGGATGGAGCAGCTGGATCAGGCAGAGACCAGTTGGGGCAAACATTATTTCGAAGTTTTTTTTAATCAGATTAAATAGGGCTTGAATAAGGTCATTATCATTGTTGAGAAGAGTTTCATTTCGTGTGAAAATGCATGATTAAGAGATTTGTAGGTTAATCTCACCGGAAGACGATGACTGATTCCAGTTATAGGGCAGTCATTTGGTCTTAATACAACTATCAGTTCGTGAAAACGGCCTAAACTTTTGTCCGTCATATGCCATCAGAGATGGAAAAAGTCACACGTTAACACTGGGTTAAGAAGATTGTCCGGCTCTATCTGAACACTTATATACGTAGTCATAACAAAAACGAAAACGAATAGGCATAGATAAGTAAAGAATGGCTTGGGTAATCATCTTTTATATTGGTCCTGCTAATTTTGTCAAGTGTGTGTGTGTGTATGACTGATAACGTCTATACACAATAGCTGTTCTAAATCAGAATTTCCAAAATGCCCATTGTCAGGCTCTGATCGTGAAGGATTAATGGCCCAAGAAAAAGACCTGCCTGTCACCCCGTGAGTGGGTTGGCTACTATGGTTGAAATAATGAACAGTCGGATCTCGATAATGGGTCATTTTTCCTCCTAAAAGTTGGCATAACCGAAGAAAGTTTAAGGGTTCCTTTAAACACACTTTTGTTCGCCAGTGCTTTTAGAGAGCAGGCATGACGGCAAAATGGGACGTAAGAAAAGGTCTCCGTTTGTCTATCCTTGACTAAATAGTCTCCTTACATTTCAACTGAACTTCACATAGCTTTGCATCCCCAAACACAAGCATGGACTATAGTTTCGACCTGGTCTCGGTCTTATCAACGCCTCCAGCGGAACTCAGAGCATGACAATACAGCCTTTAAACACGACACGTTAACCAATATGTCGCATTGCGAAGCTCAATGGTAACGCAAGGTCTACTTTAATCATTGTGATACAATTAAACTACCAGCTCTTCATCATCTTGAACTAAAAGTAAACACACATCATATATAAGATTTCGTGATAGTCTTGAAAGCCTCTTCAAAACCAAGAATAAGCAAATGTAGGCTTGCTTCATCGACAATCCCAGCACAGAATGTGATATGGGAAATGCCTGACCTTCCTTGAAATTCAAATCTGTTCTGTGACCCAAGGTGATTCGTGGCAATGTGGCGTAGTGGTTAACGCTACACTTTCATGGCTCCGGTCCCGCTGGGGGTGTTGGAAGACCAAGCCGAGGTCGAAATTAAAACAACACTTGCCTGGTAAGAATATGGTTGGGGAGCAAGGCTATGTGAAAATGAATGGAAGCCTAGTGCATACCAAAATAATTATGGGAAAATTTAGCTTGTAGTCCTTCATCACCTTAAACGAAATAGGGTGAACACATATAGATGATATACAGGTAGAAGTGGGTTGACCTCGTTGTCGCAACTTGGTCTTGTTCTTAGGGAGACCATGTAGAACGCACCTAGTCCG